AATTGGAGGCAGTGCATATATGCATATGCACTTAACACACAGAATTTGTTCCTTTACTTACCAAACTTAGAATTCTCTAAAATACTTGTTTTGTTTTATATCTTCATCTTTATTTGTGTCCCGCCACCAGAATATAATAAGAGCAAGGAGTTTGGTCTCATTTGTTCACTTCTGGACCTTGAGTGCCTAACTATAGTGCCCAGCCTGTAGGTGGGGTTCAAATATTGTTGAATGATGGGAAATGAGGATTTTTTTCCCTCCAGAGCCTTTACATGAGTTGTTTCTTCTTTGGTTGGTTCCTTATCTCATTGTGTTACCAAGTTAGTAACCTCCTCAGGTGGCCTTCCAGCCTAAACTATCCAGCCTGAAGTTTCCACCAGTCTCTGTCGTATCATCCTATTTTTCTGTTTCCTCCATGGCATTTTTTTACAGTCTGACATTTTTCTTACTCATCCCTTTGTTGACTGTCTTTTCTCCTCCCTCTCTTCCTTGATTGAAAGTACATTCCACTGTACATCAGGACCTTTGTCTTATTTACATCTACATCTCTGGTATCCCAGATGGTAGCTGGACAAGAAATACATTGGTTTCAGGAGGAAACAAATGAAGTTCATTGTTCTCTTGGCATCAGCCTCACTTTCACCCCTTGAAGGCAAATGCCCTCACTCCCTGCTTGCTGACTCGGCCCTCCCCGTTGCTTTCCCCTGAAACTCCACTGAGCTCCGCCTTTAGCTCCCTGTAGGCGAGCTGCCTACCATCCCACAGCCTCTTACATGGTTCCGTCTCTGTCCTACAGCAGCTTCCTTTCTGCAGTCAGAAGTCTCTTTGATTTTCAGTTACCTGCTTTTCTCTTGGCAAGTTTTTCTGTATCATTTCTGTGTCCTTTTGGGGCTGAGAGAACCTGAGTAGGAGCTCCCTCTGTCTCTCTTGCCACTCCTCATCATTTGTAGCTTCCCACGTTGGCAAAGTGTGTTCTTTGAGGCTGCCTACTCCTGGGGACCTCGGTGAGAAGTGGGGGAGAGGGAGCAGGTCCGTTCTGCCCTCGAATTCCTTTGCTGATCCCAAAGGGGGAGGAGTGGTTCTGTAGCCACCTTGGGCTCTCCTCAGCTGGGAAGTATGGAAGAAATTGTTAAGTACTATTGTTTGTCCTCAGTTTTTTCTCTCACTTTCATCCCTTGAAGGCAAGGGTGAATCCTTTTTTTTCTTTTCACCCCTAACATCTCTAGACAGTCCCATGTCCCTGACCTCCAGGGATGGGAGAAGGGATAGAGATTGAATAAGCCATCAATGGCCAATAATTTAATCAGTCATGACTGTAATGAAGCCTCCATAAAAACCCAAAAGGACAGGGTGCAAAGAGCTTCCAGGTTGATGAATGCATAGGTTGGGAGAGTGGTGCACAAGGAGGGCATGGAATCTCAGAACCTTTTCCACATACCTTGCCCTACGCATCTTTTCCATCTTGCTACTCCTGAGTTATATCCTTTTACAATAAACGGTAATCTAGTCAGTAAGATGTTTGTCTGAATTCTGTGAGCTGCCTTAGCAAGTTAATGGAACCTAAGGGAGGGGGTCATGGGAGCCTTCGGTCTGCAGCCTGTTAGTCAGAAGCACAGGTGATAAGCTGGGTTTGTGACTGGCATCTGAAGTTGGGGGCAGGGTGGTCTCCTAGAACTGAGTCCTTAACCTGTCCTGTGAGATCTGATGCTATTTCCAGGTAGATAGTGTGAGAATTGAAGAATTGTAGGATACCCAACTGGTATCCAAGAATTGCTTGGTGGTGTGGGGAAATCCCTCTCTGCACATTGGATTTGTTGCTCAGAATCATTAGATAAACAGAAATTTAATTGTTTAAGTATCACTCTGTGCTTCTAACCTCACCTTTGAATTCATAGGAATAATTTTTTCTATCTTGTATTTGTTTATGTATACGACCTTGGACATCTTGTACTTTCGACATAGTCACTTTAGATCAGTTGTTTCACCATACATATGAAATATCTTACGGCGCTAATGTGAGTGGAGCCTTTTTAAGGGTTTGAGCTCTTAACTTACTTGACTTTGCCTGTTTTATCTTTCAGAGTGTTCCCAGAAATTGCTTTTTTAAGCAAAAGGGAGAAGTTTTATCCTCATTGGCCACATTTTGTTCACACTAATTGAAGTTCGGCTCAGAGTCAGCTGCCATCTCAGCACTAGGTGGCACTGTGCACCACAGTTAGTCATACACACCTTACAGTTTTTATAACAAGTGCACAATCCTCAAATATGATGCTTGGAATCCTTGCATAAGCATTCCTGAGAAAAGAAAATGTAACAAGGGGAGACGTACTAAGTGCCAGTTAAATGAATGTACTTGTAAATACATGGTTGAAAAATACATTAAATTACTTCATGGTCATTATTTCATAGTAATACCAAAAAGGTAGGCTGGTCTCAATCCAAACCTTCTTAGGCTAGTGTGATCTCAAAGCTGAGATTTATTTTAGGACCCCTTTGCTGTTCATCATGGTTAATTGTGAAAGAAAAGAGTAGTACAGCTTTTCAGACTGATGTTCTTTTGCTTACTTTTTATAAATTTTTGAAATGTGCCATAATATAAAAACAACAAACATTTATAAAAGTTCTCATGCACTTACTGTTCTTTTGTGATGTTTAAGGAAATGCTTGGTTTTGACTTAGGAACCCTACAGATACTCACTGAGGAAAATGTAAGCATCTTCCTTTTATTGGTGAGAAAAGAGAAGCTCAAAGATGTTAACTTGGCGCGGCATGAATAGCTCCTGGGTATACAGAACCTGTGTTCAGTCTCAAGTCTCTTGGGTTCCAGAACCTGGGAGCGCTCTTCCTGTTACTGTAATGGTGCCAGACTTAGCCAGTACCCATTCATGTAAAGGTAATGTGGGTGACAAGTGCAGGGACAGATGTTGGCTCCTTTCTCTTATGAGAGGTGTGGAGAAAACAAACCCAAACAGTAGGACCCTGAACATCCAGAGTTAGGAAGGGAAAAGGGAAAGTCGCCAAAGGAAAGACTGGCTGCTAGAGATGTTGGCCTGCTTTTGCCTGGAGAAGCTCAGTTCCTTTAAGTCGGTGACATACAGAACTGAGCAGAATATAGAGTGAATCAATCATTACGTACTCGAGGTCTCAAATGCTGGCTTCTCTGAATACTTAGTCTCCATATGATCTTGGGCAACTTGTAACCATGAGACTCAGTTTACCGGCCTTTAAAAATGGAGGAGGATGAAATGTGTTAATGTATGAAAAAGTACATAGACTAGTACCTAGTACATGGTAAACATTCAATTAATGTTAAATGCTTGGGCAGTTTTATACATTAAGCAATATGAGAAATGTCCCTACTGCTTTATGTAATTTGAGCTGTGGCGGGAGTCGCCATACACCCCAGTTTACAACTACTATCCTGGTAGTTACTACTAGCCCACCTTTCATACTCTACAGAAGAGGCCCAATATAGGCAATAAAGTATTTGCTCACTGTAGCTGCAGCCAACTTTGTTACAGAAGAGTTTTGTGCCCAGGGATTTGTTCATGTAAGTTTGTCTAAAGTGAAGACTCTTCCTCCAAGGGAAGATAGAGCTGCTGCTTTCTGATACATAATACAGATAATGTGTGTGCACATTAGGACCCCTAACGTTTCTTGGTAGACTGCCTAGCATCAGACTGCACTTGCTATTTCCTAGCTATATAGCCTTGGGCAAATTAGTTTACTTCTTTAAACCTAAGGGCTCCATCTGTTAAATGAGGGTGGCATTAGTACCTGTCACTAGGGCTATGTAAATGAGGTAATGCATATAAAGCACTTAGCTCAGTGCCTATTACATAGAAAGCACATCATAAATGACAACTGTATAGGGACGGTAGATTTTTTCACTTAAGGAAAAGGCTGTGACACAAAGTACTTATTAAAATCCATTGAAATTGAAAGATAGAATTACACTTAAGTCCTTTACAATTATTAAAATCTATTGATTTTGTTCTGATAGGTATCAAAATAAGTAATAAATATTCTTTTGTTGTTTTTATATCATATCATTGCAATTTCAAACATTTCATGCAAATTCAAAGCATAGCAAATTTCAAACATTTATAAAAGAGAATGATGTGAGGAAGCAATGAACCCTTGAGGGTACCTATCAGTTAACTTCTGTAATAATATAGTACATGGCCAGTCATTATTTTATTACTTTTTTAAAAAAACGTTCATGAGATACATTTTGTACATCATAAATTTCACCCATTTCAGGTGTACAATGATATGTACAAATTTACTGAGTTACGTAACATCATCATAAATCAGTTTTCAAACATTTTCATTACCTTGGTAGGGTACTTCCAACCCAGATTCCATTCTCAGCCCTAGGCAACTGCTGATCTGTTTTCTGCCCTTATAGATTTGCCTTTTCTGGACATTTCCTATAAATGGAATGATACAATGTGTAAGTCTCTTGTGTCTAGCTGTCACTTAGCATAGTGCTTTTGATGTTCATCCACATTGTAGCACATTCGGTAGTTCATTCCTTTTTCTAGATGAACAATGTTCCTTTGTATAGATGATGCTTTTTTTGTCTATGCTTCACAGTGGCCAGTCTTCCACCCCCTACTCCTGCTTATTTATTTCATAAATGATAGCTTAAAACATTGTTATATATTCCTGCTTTTTATTTTTACTTTTCCAAATCGTCTTCTCTCTATCCTCTTATACATCTTGCCTGTTTTCATTTGTTTTCTGTCTCCAAGAGTCTTTTTTGTTGTTTTTGTGTATGGTTTTACTTGACACGGAACTGGTATCTAGACCACAAACTTTCAAAGGTACAGTTCATTTCATTATCTCCTGCCTTTAATGAAAATTCATACTTGCTTAGTGTCAGATCCAGATAGTGAAGGTTTTTCTAAGTTCTTCAGTAAGTCTTTCAGATTGTGTTCAGTGTTACATGCTGGGCTGAAAACTGTTTCTAATTCTCATGATTTTTTTAAACTCAGGTTGTTGGAAGAGGAGCCTTTGGAGTAGTTTGCAAAGCTAAGTGGAGAGCAAAAGATGTTGCTATTAAACAAATAGAAAGTGAATCGGAGAGGAAAGCTTTTATTGTAGAGGTAAGTAGAGAGAGAATCATTCCCGTTGTATAGTTCTTCACTTCAGACACTCTGAATTTAATATTATGAAAAAAATTGTTTTTCGATCATTTTTCTGTATACTCAAATATCAGCAATTTGGCTGAACCAAAGGTAATTCCATAGGAACACTTTTTCATTCATACTATTAGTTCTGATTAGAAACTTGGAGAAAAGTGACAACTACATAAATGAATCCATCCCTGAATTAAAATAGTCTCATCCATGTAATTCAGATCTATTTCAAGGCATAGAATTTAAATTTTAAAAAGAAAAGAAATGCTATTTTCTCCCATTACCTAAAATTAAGAAGGGGAAGTAGTATGCATTCATTTTTGAGTATTTTTAGAAATTCAAATGAGATCATTTTAAAGGAAGATAATTTCAAATTTGATTTTACTCATTTAGCATGAAAATTTACAACTCTGTTATCTTAGCTTTGATGATGAAGATTTTGATAATCATGAGATTATTGTATTGTTAGATTTATTCTTTATTAATTTTGTGCTATATTGTGTATTAGATTATTGTATTTCATTAAGTCAGTGATTTATCACTTTTTAACCTCATTGGCCAAAGGCTGAGTGGTCTTTACCTTATAAACCATCTGAGTTTATATGTTATTTTATTTAATTATTTCAAAGTATATTTCATGATACATTTAACTGTGTAATGTGAAGAAATTAGAATTTGATTGTGATATGATAACACTAATTTTTGTAATTAGTTAAATGAGATGAGAAATGCTGATAGTTTGATGGAGTCATGAAGAAAGGTGATCTGTAGTAGTATATTCTAGAACTTCGGCCTCAGTCTTCCCTTTTTTACAATTTTTGTTCATGGCTTAGATAAGGTCATAGATCCTATACTGTTGTATTGATGGCTTCACAAAACTAGGTAAAAGTATGTGTGTTTCGTGCTAGGGATCAAGAGTCAAGAGATCACAATAGCCTGGAGAAAAAAATGTTTTTAATCAAATCTATACAGACATGTACTCTAAATTGTCAGCTGGTTCCCTACGTATTCTTATTTTTAAAAGTTTTATCCCCCACACCTCCTGTCAAGTTTTCTGCTTCTCAGAAGCAACTGCTTGAGCTCATCCTTTAGTTTTTTTGTTTGGTGTCCCCCAGTCCAGAGACTTTGTTAACCTTCTCTAATGAATCAGCCTCAAACCTTTGAGATGATAAAGAGGCAGCCGCCAAGCTGTGTGAAGTTAGGGAGGGAAGGGATCTTCGGATCTAACTTTCAACTAATATTGCCACTCTTTCATTAGCTCATTGTTATAGGAAGCTGGTATTTACTACCACTCTCAAGCCTTTTAGAGCTTTTGTGAGATAAATCTGGTTGCTTTATACTTATTTTCATTTCTTTTAGGTCTGCTCTTTCAATATTGCTAGTCATTTGATTTCCAACTTCTAAAAATATGTGGTGTTTTCTCATTTCACATTGTCTTCATCCTTCTGCATATATGCTTTGAGAAAATATCTTTACTGTCTTAGTGGGATTTGGCAATGAGGCAGAAATAAATGCTTGAATAATCTGCTATTTAAAGCTCAGTGCTAAATCTAACAGGATGAAATATAATAATATATATGTATATATAAATAAGAATATAATAAATAGTGATATTAATTCTTCTGTTAGGACTGAAAACCCACAAACATTGCCTACAGAAAAATACAGCATTCTAATAGCACATAGTAACAAGGTTTACCTTAGTGGATTTATATGAGTCTGCAGTATAATGTAGGTAATAGAGAAGTAAAGGAGGAAGGGAGGGAAAAAGGCAGAAAAGAGAGAAGAAAGAGCAAGAGGCAATTTGAGGGGGATACATTAATAGGAGTTTGAGATGAAGAGCAAGATATTTGCATACAGGCAAATCCCTCACTGACTTCATTGAATATGACTTTAATGTGAATCCTTGGATTGGAGAAGGTTAAAACTGGAAGTAGGGAGACCAGCTAAGGGAAGGCAGTAGTAATTACCACAGCAACTCAGGTTAGAATTGCTAAGGCAGTGGTAGTGCAAATGGAGAGGAAAGAATTGACACAAGAGATGGGAGACTATAAAGAGAGTGCAGGTGCAGATTTTAAATCTGGTGAAGTTCTAACCCTCCTGCACCACTACTTCCTGGCTATCGGGATCCTGACTATTGGTTGGAATAACTCAGTTCAGTGCCATCTCTGGGATAATGTCCTAACATGTCCTGGCAAAGTTAATTTCTTCTTATTTGTAGTTTTCATACCTTGTTCATAACTCCTGTCATAACACTTAGCACATTACTTTAATGATTTTTTTTACGTGTTTCTCCCCCAACTGAATTGAGAGAGCTCTAGGGCAAGGATTCTGTGTGCCATTCTGGGGGTTGGGGGGGGGAAGGGCACTTATGATGGTTGTGCCAGCTACAGAGCAAATAGTATTGTTGAATGATTAAACTAATGTTTTGTACGACCCTAAGATTCTCATGATACTGTGAAAGCAGTTCCTCAAAAGTTAGCACTTTTTAACAGAAACCTTAATTTGTTACAGCTTCGGCAGTTATCCCGCGTGAACCATCCTAATATTGTAAAGCTTTATGGAGCCTGCTTGAATCCAGTAAGTTTGTCATTTTCTCACTGTCACCTGTCTATAAAAAATGACATGGCAGATATATACTGGTGTGTAGTTTATGAAGCTGTTTGGATCTGTCATGTTATTTCTGGGGGGAAAATATACTTGTGTTTGTTTCTATTCTGTTAGCAACACAGTATATTGGAGGGGTTTTTCTTGGGCAGTCTTACCCAGTAACCACATCTTAGGAGGCTTATCCTATCGTGTGACAGGATACTCACTAGCACTGGAGAAAGTCCCCAAAGATCTGGTGACTGTGTCTGTATATACATCTCCACTCTTAGACAATGGGACCCTACAAGACAAGGTCTTAGATTGTGAAAAGTTTTTTTTTCTCTAATGCCATTCATATATTAGAGACCAAAAGAATAATTTGTAATGCATTTATAAAATCAGAGGTTGAATTAAATCATCTCTCAAGTCCTTTAAGATGCTGTAGCTCTGTGGTTAATATTCTGACCTACATTTTGTTTAGGTGTGTCTTGTGATGGAATATGCTGAAGGGGGCTCCTTATATAATGGTGAGTATCATTAGAACTAGTAGAGTAAATAATTGAAAAGTTTTTAATGTAACCTGTAACTTAATGTTCTTCACAATTTACCCTCAGAAGTCCAAGAGGAGGTAATTAAGAATCTGCTTAAGATTAAAAGGAAAAGATGCTACAGCATTAGTATGTGAAATTTAGAAGTCTAAGTATGTCAACTTTTTTAATTGATGGTACTTTGCATAATGTTAAAAAGCATTTAAGTAAAGTAAAATTTGCTTTTTAAATAGATTTTAAAATATCTTCATACTTTTTTCTTTTTATCTTCTCTTAGATTTGCACCTCCTCATTTTAGAACTCTTTAACCATACATCCATTTAAATTTTTTATTTTGCTTCTCAAAAAATAAACTAGTAAAAACTCATTTCACAGACCATTTTAATTATAACAATGAAAGAAAACTGTATCATTTAGTTACCTTTATAGAGGAGAACTTTTTCACAAGAAGAAATACAAATGGTTTCTTTCAAACACCAACACCAGTACCTGAATGTGTTATCTCTTGTTGCACCATTTATATAAAATAGCTGCATTTATTTTTTAAAGTAACATTAATTCATATAAACATTTATTTGTATTTACAGCCCATGTGTTCATTATTTTAAGGGTCATCTGATACTCCATTGTTTTATTTGGTTGAACTATTTCTAGTTTTTAGCTATTGTAGGAAGTGTAATTGGGAGCATCTTGGTACCCATGATTGTGTTTCCTTCTGTTCAGTTTCTCTGTGTCTCTCCTATAGTAGTGTGCCATCACATTGCTTACCATTTATATTATTGTGTGAAAGACTCTCCATCAATATGAAAAAGTGTGATAATGTTTATGAATTTTACTTGAATGAAAAGCTGTTACATGTTAGGTGCCTGTGTGGTAGTTGTTCACCTGAAATTAGATACTTCCATCATTTTACTTAGAAAAGAACTAAAAGTAGGGCTGAGAGGAACTTTGGAAGAAAAACAGCTAGTCATGTGTTCTGACAGTGCTTGCAGTCACCACATGTCTTTTATATGCAATAAAGTTCTTTTTAGTTTGTACCTTTTTCTTGCAGTGCTGCATGGTGCTGAACCCTTGCCATACTACACGGCCGCCCATGCAATGAGCTGGTGTTTACAATGTTCCCAAGGGGTGGCTTACCTTCACAGCATGCAGCCCAAAGCGCTCATTCACAGGGACCTGAAACCACCAAAGTAAGTTCTAATGTGGCATCTCTCTTGCCACCCTTTACCCACCCCCTCATTCATGCTGATGAGTGCACATGAGTTTCTCTTTTCTCTTCCCTTTTAGTTTGATCAAGTGTTTATTTTTAACTCCATTTGCATCCCTTAGTCATTTATCTTAAGCTTGCATTTTAGAATGTTGTCTTTAGTAGGATTTTTATTTCAGTAAAGTTTTATTTTTAGTAATGCCCTCCTTAGATTAGCATATTTCTAGAATCCATTAGCCTTATAAATCTTATTTTATGCCTTCATATGAATATTATTTTATGTGTGCAGTTAGACAGTTCCATGATTTGTGCAAAGACAAATCTGTCTTGTTCCATGCTATATCCCTAACAACTAGCACAATGTGCACACGTGGTAGACATTCTACTACAAATTTATAGAACGTTTATTTTCAGAGGAAGGCAAGAAATCTGGCATCTGGGTAGAAATTTAAATCCTTTTCCCATATTTAGGATTCTGGGAATCTTAAAGAACTTTAAAATTCCCTAAATAAATACTTGAAAAGGCTGCAACTTTGGTAGTTTTATTTGTATCAGTATTCAATTAAAGAAAATATACATGTGGTATTTACTGTCTCCTTTTTGCTGTAAGTTCTGTCGTCTTTATCCACCTGTGACAGAGTGAAACTGTCCCCGGGTGCCCTTCTCCGCACACCCTACTCTGCTTCTCCTGGCGATCACATCAGTCCTCAGATGAGACATTTCTCCTAGGAAATGAATCTCAAGTATTCCATTCTCTTGATACTGGTTTAAAGCATTAAAGCATGCCTTCTGGGTATAACTTGTCACTCTCACGTCTAATCCAATATCCTTTACATAGGTTCCAATTCTTAGAGTCACTGTTCTCATTGGTGTACCTTATTTCTACTCCCAGGCTTAAACTGATTTCTCTTTCCCCAGGCCCCTGGTCAAATAAATGCCTAAATTCCAGATTCATGACACTTTTATTTTTCTAACTTAACTCCTAGGGCTGTTACCTTAGTGCCTTCTCTTGGCTAATAAAGAAGAAATCATTGAACTTTTGTTGCCTGGTTACAGAGACTGAGTCCTCATTTTCCTCTCCGTATTAACATGGAGTCGAATTATCAAAACACATTCATGAAAATCATAGTGCTCATCCAGCAGTAAATTAACTAATGATTCTAAGGGTACAGGCAAGCCTCAGGTACAGACAAAACGTTCTTTTTCTGGAGGAGCTAGAAACCGTCAGCTGCAACTCCCTCTACTGTCTATTTTCTTCTGCATTAGGGAGTGTTTTGGCTTTTGAATGACTGACTAGCCATTAAACAAATATATATGGAATGTCTAATAAAAGTCATTTCAGTTTTCTAACGTCTTTTATATTTATTAATTACACAGCTTGAACAACTGTCCATTCTCTGTCCACCCCTACTCCATAAATCCATAAATCGTTGGTTTATTTAACCAACCTATTTAGAACAGTTAGGTTCTACTGAAATCATTTGTAGATAGGGACTCTGCTTTTGCTAAGTAACACCATTAACGTATTTGTAAGAGGTCTAGTCTAAGTCATTCATTCCTCTTGGGCATCCTATGGCTGGCCTCCCCCTGTAGTGTTGCAGATTGTCTTTGGGACACCCAGTGGACAAATTAGGCTTTAGAATTAGAATTGATTTTTTCAGAAGGTACCAGGAAAAAGAAAATTCCTTGGAATGGCTATGCTTTCATATACAACTGTATTTATAAGTACATATGCTCTAGGTTATTGTCACCTGAAAACCTGTGGGTACTGTGATCGGAAATAGTTCTCAGAACGGCACATACAGATGGCACCTGATGATTTGGTCAGTTGGTTTGTACAGTACCATATTGTGCTTATGCCCCTTTTAAAATTTTTTGAAATAGTTCTCAGAACGGCACATAAAGATGGCACCTGATGATTTGGTCAGTTGGTTTGTACAGTACCATATTGTGCTTATGCCCCTTTTAAAATTTTTTGAAAGTTCATTCACATGTACATCAGAAATAAAAATGTGGTTTTGGTCCTGTGTGAAAAGATAATTTAGGTTCATATTTCATTGAGTATTAAAGTCTTAAGAGTAAAGGAGTAGTACTTGTAAAAGTATTAATATGAAATTCATTCAGAAAAATTGTATCTTGAATGTGCCAGAAACAAGGAAACCGGTTACAGAGTCCTTACCTTGAGTAGAGGGCAGTAAGAGCTTGACCAAGTACACTGAGACAAGGGGACATTTTTGTTACTGAGGTACATCTAATAGTTAATTGTATTTGGCATTGTTTGCGCTTACTATTATAGAAATAGTTA